CCAGCCCCAAGGCACATATTGTATTAAAACAAACTTTGAGATATGCCTAAAATATAAGCAGACAGATACATGTACATAGATGATATCTTAATAGCTTCCACAAATAAAGGGACTATAAAGATATGGAAACCGTAGTTAAACACCTTATAAAGAAAGGATGGACCATAAACAAAGTACAAGGGTCAGGTAAAACCATAAAATTCCTTGGACTACTAATATCTACAGAAAGTCAATGCATACCAGGGCAGGTAATAGACAATAGGGGACCCCCAAAAAATAAAAAAAGTCCAACAATTAATAGGATTATTTGTCTATTGGAGGAACCACATACCATCCCTTAATCTAACACTACATCCAATAAATAAAATTACATGAAAAGCACAGGATTTTTTTTTCTCTTGTGTAGGAGAAATATACTACCACTCAACCTCTACTGTAAGGTTGGCAGCCCTGAGAACTCCTTTATTAATGTAGCATGTTATGGATGCAGTCCTGCTCCAAAAGGAATGAGAAGGCATTTCCACATGCATGAAAAGCACAGGATTTTATGTGGACAGAAGAACTAGAAAAAGCATTACAGTTATGCAAACTATATATAAAGAATATAGCAATCTGTATAACTTAGAAGGAGATACCACAATAGATACAAAAATAAAAATGGCTACAGAACTTGGGGAATTTATAATGCTTCAAAACCACAACCTGTAGGACTTTACTGTGAGAGATTTCCATTCACAGAAAACAGATACTCATTATTTGAAAAAATTGCATAGACAGCTTATGAACCACTAAAAATGACATCTACCATGACAATAGGAAAAATGATCCTACAAACACCAATCATGTTAAAAGATAGGATAAAATGACACCAAAGGAAACACAAGGTTTAGGATGGGAAAATAAAGCTTTAATATGGCAATGGTACCTAAAACAATTTGAGAAAAACCAAACAAAAATAGGAACCGATAAGATCACCGAAGAAGCCCAAATATCTATAGCCCCAGTATCAGATATCCCTATAATAAAAAGGAACTTAGCAACGTGGGGGCCAGAATATACTACTGATTTTGAAAATGTATGGTTTACAGATTGATCTACTACAGTAATAAAGAAATAAAGTGGAGGGGCTGGCACTGTGCTGTAGTGGGTAAAGCCACTGCCTACAGAGCTGGCATCCCATATGGGCACCAGTTCGAGTCCCAGCTGCTCCACTTCCAATCTGGCTCTCTGATGTGGCCTGGGAAAGCAGATGGCTCAAGTCCTTGGGCCCCTGCACCCACGTGGGAGACCTGGAAGAAGCTCCTGGCTCCTGGCTTCAGATTGGTTCAGCTGCAACTGAGGAGTGAACCAGTGGATGGAAGACCTCCCTCCCCGCCTCCCCCTCCCCCTCTCTGCCCTCCCCCTCTCTGCCCTCCCCCTCTCTGCCCTCCCCCTCTCTGCCCTCCCCCTCTCTGCCCTCCCCCTCTCTGCGTAACTCTGACCTTCAAATAAATCTTAAAAAAAGTGGAAAGCAGCTTATAACCCTAAAAACAATATACTATTAACAAAACAAGAAAATAAATCAACACAACATGCATAATTAATAGCCACAGAATTAGCCATACATTATACTAAAGAACACAGTTTAAAAACAATATACATTTATACTGACTCATGGTGTGTGGCGAATGCCCTAGCTATACGGTCAGGTAAATTTAAAATGACAGACTATAAGAAACGGAAAGGATTTGTGGTCCAGAGATACATGGAAGAACATAGGTAAAATGGCAAAAAGAAATAAAAGTAATCCATGTAGATGCACATACAAATAAAAAGGATGAGGTGAGCAGATACAATGATATTGTAGATAAACAGTCAAAAATACTGCTTATGAAACTACAAGGAAAATGGCAAACAAAACAGGAGACACGAAACAAACAGGCAATGAGAGAGAACAAAATCAGAAGGAAAACATGAAATACACCCACAACAATTCTTACAAATACATGCCCAATGAGGACATGCAGGAACTCACACGTTGTATGAGTGGTTCCAAACAAGGAAACTAAAGGTCAATGGAACAACAAAAAAGGCAATAAGGGAATGCACAACTTGCCCAAAAATGAAATTAAAATTTAATCTCTATAAAATGCCCAAGATACAAATGGAATATAAGAATTTTAATTATATAAACAGATTTTACAGGACCACTAACATTCAGGAATATGTACGTATGCACAATGGTAGACACATGCAGAGGACTAGGAATGGTAACAGCTACAATAAAACCTAACCAAGCACCAACAATCCATACAATATTACAATGGAGCACAGCTTACAGTATTCCAGTAATACAATCAGATCTAGGGTCACATTTTATAGGGAACTTAGCGAAACAAATGGTAGATCGATTAGGATTGCAATGTAACTATCATTGATCATATAACCCCACTGAAGCAGGCAATATAGAAAGATGGAATGAGATTTTTAAAAATGAACTAGAATTACATAAGAGAAAATTTAAGGACAGCCTTACCTAAAGCAGTAATGGAAATAAACAACAGAACTAGAAGGAATACAGACCTGCAGAAGAAGTGTTAATACGACAAACACCAAGTATACTACAAACCTTATTAGATGTTAAGAAAACACAGGACAAAGTATACAATAATATACCATATAGAATTATGATAAAAAGCAAGAATAATGTAACTATCAGCCCAGCTTAAATAGTGGCAGCAGGGCAAGGAAACATAGTATTGACTACCAATGAGAGGCATGTTAAAACTTATAAAAATCAAAGATATACATCAGTACAGCAGTATATAGTATCTGTTCTCTTACAGGTACATATAAAACTATCATAAGGAATTTGCACACCACATCAAATACAGAACTATTACATGAACTACAAGTAAACTACAACTACTTCATCACAAAAGACACTTACTCCTTAGAAAATGGCTTTAAAACATACAGGAGAAGCATACTAATGAAGATACCTACCACCCAAACATTAATGAAGCTACCTACAATGACAACAATATTATCCATAACCAATAGTCCTGTGACTGCTGTGAGCACTAGTAGCCCTAGTAGTACCCCAAATAGTGGCACTTCTCCTCCCACACCTGCTCCAGAACTTGATATAACCATACCATTCCCAACCAAAAATTATATAGATGTAGGTAAAATCGTTGATAGGTGGAGATATAATTATTACAGCAACATGTTGTTCCACATGGCCCAAATTTTCTTTGCAAGGTACACACATTGTAGACAGGCACCTACATCAGTATATAAAGAAATATGTGAGGAATACTACAAAGCTATAAAACAAATACCACCATTAGCACATAAATCATTGGAGGACACAAATAACACAAATATAATACATAATAACCCTTTAAGATGCATTTATACAGAACTCTATAGGAACACTACCGGAGACATGCAATATATCTATCTACCAGAGATATGCAATATATCTATTCCATGCCAGAACAATGCACAGAATTACAATTACGAACCATGCAAATTGTAGGTAATGTAACATATCACATATATGAAAAAACAGAGGCAGATGATATTGCAAACTGTCCATGGAACTCGGATTCCTACCCGTATTCTTTGCACCAACATTACAGCAAAGATCATGCTAAGATAAATGGGGAATAGAACCACATGAAGCTTGTGAATCCACCCCAACAACTCCAACTACACAAACATCACAGACTACAATGACATCAGTTACACAAACAACAACATGGCCACCTCCACCCAACAGCTGACTCGGTCTCAGTAAAACTTTTTCAACCAAGGGTAACAATCCACACGTATAATAAACACAGATATCCTATTTCAATACCTAGTAGATGTATGGGACAAACTTCCCAACACTCCCAGGGACAATACCACAATTTGGTGCATATCAGGCTTTCCCAATCTTCCATATTATGTAAAGTTTGAAGTAATTGATGGCACCTCAGATTGTAAAGCAGAAAAATACATCATTCCTACCAGTATCAACCTAGGCAAAAAGCATGGCTGTGGGAATTAATACGTAAGTTTCTGCTAATAACAGACCCAATACAACAACCATACCAGATAAATAGTGCATTTAAACCCAATCCTCGCCAGTGCCGTGGCTCAACAGGCTAATTCTCCGCCTTGCAGCGCCGGCACACCAGGTTCTAGTCCCGGTCGGGGCGCCGGATTCTGTCCCGGTTGCCCCTCTTCCAGGCCAGCTCTCTACTGTGGCCCAGGAGTGCAGTGGAGGATGGCCCAAGTGCTTGGGCCCTGCACCCCATGGGAGACCAGGAGAAGCACCTGGCTCCTGGCTTTGGATCAGCGCGGTGCGCTGGCCGCGGCAGCCATTGGAGGGTGAACCAATGGCAAAGGAAGACCTTTCTCTCTGTCTCGCTCTCTCATTGTCCACTCTGCCTGTCCAAAAAAAAATAAATAAAATAAACCCAATCCTAAAACAATATATAGATGCCAACACTATGACTTACACTAGTAGTCCAAAATATTAATGGGAGTATAACAAGAGAAACAAAAGCTAAAAAAGGAATTAGCCGCTTTGAATATTATACAAAAAATAATGAAACACTTGTTGGCACCAAAGAATACAAGTTCTGGGAATTGGCAGATTATAAAGCCTGAATAAAGTTATTAAGTGAAATAGCAGGAAATAAGACAATCTACATCAAATGTAACCACACACATTTCAATCACACAAAAACAACCGATTGGAATTTTTTAGCTATATTCCCATGGAAAAACTACAAGGCGAGTATAAAAATTGTACAAACTGACATACATTCATAGTAATGAACACAACAACAAAGCAACATAAGGCAACAAGACTAATAAAATATAATAAAATGAAAGACACATCTTGTAGACCAGTTAAACCTACTTGGTGGATGTGTGACACATTAATGACAGATAATAATACTTTAGCTTTTGAAATACCAGTGGATATAGAGAAAACAAACAGAACCATTACAATATCATACCCAGGTGAGTCCGGTGTGGTCTTCGTGAGATGCCACCATGGCATACTGTGGTCAGGACCAGAAAGTGCAGAAGGTGATGGTGCAGCCCATCAACCTCATCTTTACATCCTTGCAAAACAGATCTCGCATTCAGGTGTGGCTCTATGAACAAGTGAATACGCAGATAGAAGGCTGTATCATTGGTTTTGATGAACACATGAACCTCCTATTAGATGACGCAGAAGAGATTCATTCTAAAAGTCAAGAAAACAACTGGGTCGGATCATGCTAAAAGGAGGTAATTACTTTGTTACAAAGCGTCTCCAACTAGCAATGATGGATGAAGTGAGAAAATACTGAGAAGGCAATGCTATGTTTTTTGGTTTGTTTTTGTAGGTGCCCTTTCATTGCGAGTATAGTTCCAAAACACTTCCTCATGTTGTTTTTATTACCCTTATGTTATTACAAGAAGACAATAAATACAGTGGGAATTAAAAAAAAAATCACAATATCATACCCAGATAGAGGTAGAGGTTTTAAAAGAAATATAATAAACTCAATTACAGTTACGAACCTTATCAACCCTTTATTGAAAACAAGGATATTCGCAGGAAAAATGTGTGAAAAGGCTCCAGAACAACAGTGAGTTAAAATAAAAGATGCAGAGAAGAGACATCCAATGGTGAATAAAAGCAGGAGTGGATTCTATAAACATCCCTCAGAGATACAAAATTCAATACTCTAATCTACCATATCATTTTTATGATGCTACCAAAGTGGAATGAGCCAGACAAAATAATACAATACGACTTTATAGCACATGCACCCTCATTAATGAAGACCTCAAGAAATGGTAGATACTGGAGTAACCAAGGTAACATACAAATACTCCCTATGGATTTTAATAAATACAACACTATACCTTGTATTATTGAAAGAGGAAGCGTAAATGCAACACAAGTTATATACAGCACATTACACAACAGGATGGAAGTTAATGCACAAACACCCCAGAGAATTAGAAACATTACCAGCACCATATACAATACTGGATGTGAGTGCACCAGTACAATTAAGAATACAACCAATAATACAACAGGTGTGCATCAAAATTGACATTGGGATATTCTCCACAGCCTTAAACCAAAGGTGTCCTAAAGTGGAATGACTTATACCTATAAGCCATATAAGACATCTCAAGAAGGAAAAGGAATTATTGGAGTAGATAGCAATAGGAAGATTAGCACAGGAGAAATAGCAAATGCAAAGGCAATAGAGGACCTAGACCTATGTATAACTAAGATAGAAAATATCAGAGATAAATACAAGGGTTGAAAGCCATCTCCAAATCCCTAATAAATGAAATTTTATATCACGAACAAATCATCTGCTCACAAATCCTAAAGAATTTGAAAGACCAATCAGACTTATATGCAGAAAGATATAAAATTACAGAGCAAAAAATTAGACACTATTTAGAGAACACGAATGCAGTACAAATATTACAACAAGCATTAACTGACACACGACAATTAATACAGGGAAAGGAGAACACACACACAATTCTGTTAAACCCAAATGAAAGATCTTATTGTAATGAAGTAGAATGTGGGGCCGGCGTGGTGGCGCAGTAGGTTAAACCTCCGCCTGCTGCACTGGCATCCCAGTTCTGGTCCCAGCTGCTCCTCTTCCAATCCAGCTCCCTGCTATGGCCTGAGAAAGCAGTGGAGGATAGCCCAAGTGCTTGGACCCCTGCACCCGCATGGGAGACCCGGAAGAAGCACCTGACTCCTGGCTTCAGATCAGCACAGCTCCAGCCATTGCAGTCATTTGGGGAGTGAGCCAATGGACAGAAGACTTTTCTCTGTCTCTCCCTCTCACTGTCTGTAACTCTACCTCTCAAATAAAATCTTTAGAAAAGAAAATGTAGCCGGCGCTGCAGCTCAATAAGCTAATCCTCCACCTGTGGCACTGGCACCTCGGGTTCTAGTCCAGGTCGGGGCGCCGGATTCTGTCCCGGTTGCTCCTCTTCCAGGTCAGCTCTCTGCTGTGGCCCAGGAGTGCAGTGAAGGATGGCCCAAGTGCTTGGGCCCTGCACCCCATGGGAGACCAGGAGGAAGCACCTGGCTCCTGGCTTCAGATCAGCGCGGTGCACCAGCCGCAGCGGCCATTGGAGGGTGAACCAACGGCAAAGGAATACCTTTCTGTCTCTCTCTCACTGCCCACTCTACCTGTCCAAAAAAATAAATAAAAAGAAAAAATGTAGAATGTAAGATGTCTATCATTAAATTAATATATACCAACACGTATATGGCTTATAGATCTAGGCTCTTATTGCAGGAAAATAGGGAATATCTTTATACAACCATTAAAAGGAGGAATAAGAAATGGACAAGTATACCTAATGGAGGCACTAACCCCAATTGCACCTGTGACTTACTTGTATAACCATGACTTAAGTATAATATACACACATCAAAAACTGCCTTAATAGACCCAGGCCTAGATTAATATCAATAGAGAACAATACGTTTGCAGTACGCACTCCCAAACCAGCAAGCATGACACTTCCAGCCTGGGAATGCCACCAGGATAACAAAAGTACCCTGCCCAGCAGATGACCTGGATTATGGGGGTTATGCTTATTATCCTGAGGTTTATGGGTATGAGAACCCTGCATCCTCAACCCCATCTACGTCCTCAATTGCACCTAAATCCACATCCACACCTCTAACACGCAGCATAAATAGAATAACAAAGGCACTAGAACCAGGATGCGTACTAGTATATAATACACCTGAAATAACATTACACATTACCACTAGGAACTACATGGAACATGCCAATAATCCAGTCATGTAAATCATGTTTTACAATCAAATATATGTGAAGATAATAAAGACAAAACAGACATACAGAAACAAATACTTTAGAAACTAGAAATGCAAATAAAACAATATAGAACTAATAAAACAAGATATCCTTATAAGTAAATATTTAGCATTGTTAAACCAAACTATAGGACTAGTACACAATACAGTACATGTACTAGAAACAGACTCATTAGCTTATTTTTTTTTTTTATTTGACAGGTAGAGTTATAGATAGTGAGAGAGAGACAGAGAAAAGGTCTTCCTTCCATTGGTTCACTCCCTAAGTGGCTACTACGGCTAGTGCTGCACTGATCCGAAGCCAGGAGCCAGGTGCTTCCTCGCGGTCTCCCATGCGGGTGCAGGAGCCCAAACACTTGGGTCATCCTCCACTGCCTTCCCGGGCCAAGCAGAGAGCTGGACTGGAAGAGGAGCAACCGAGACTAGAACCCGGTGCCCATATGGGATGCCGGCGCCACAGGCGGAGGATTGACCAAGTGAGCCACAGCGCCGGCCCCGACTCAATGGCTTATAAACACAACATACAAAAGTTGTACATGGGCAGATACAGCCTGGAGATTACATTTCGATGTCGTTTATCTTCATATTCCAGATTTTTGGACCAACATCAAGTAATTCTTCTACTGCACAGTCCTCATAGTAGTGGCAATAATTGCAATAAGAATATTATGTGTGCGAGTACTTATCGGAGGCTTCAGAAGAAACAAGCACTAAAAACACTTAAACCAATGGAAAATAAATTAAAACGTATACAAAAACTTCAAGGATACATTAATTTACAGTGTGATAAATGTAGCATAACAGTAGAGGATATCCTAGACAGACAATTAATAAATGATACTGTACCAGATAGGAACATGTATATCAATATTTATGGTCCATCGCACATCTAAGAAACGTCATCTATTTAGATTCTGTACTTTCAAAACTAATACACAGTAACATTCATGAAGGCGAAAGTGGAGATATAGCTAAATATATAAAAATCAAATTGCTAACGTTTTATTTTCACTCAAATGTTTTTGGAAACTCATGATAAGACCATTAGTCTATACGACACATAAAATTTTTAACTAATTACTCCACAGATCATGATAGCATATCAATTATTCCATGTCCAGCACAGAATGATCTACATAAAAGTAAACAGAGTAAGAATCATAATAAACCCATGGCTAACTCAGTTTTGTAATATGAAAAGATGCTATAACACCACGAAGCCCTATTTGGAGTATGAAGAAGACATGACCCTACACAATCACACAAAAAACAGATGATTGCTCCAACCAGGAAACACTAGCCTTATTTCCACACTGCATAATAAAAGTATCAACTTTCAAGAGATCAGGAACAACATTTAAATACATACACCTACAATTAACACTCCAAGTAATAATGACGGGAATAATAACACCATACAGAAGATGATACCAAATTTGGATTAGGACTCGGAAATGCACAAATAATAGCATGGCACGACCATGAAATCCCTAACACAAAATATCAAAAACTACTGGGAACCCAAGAAATTATGTGGATAGCAGCTGGACCTAAACTACCATTCTCATACCCATCAACAACGTATTACACAGAAAAATGAAAATAAAAATTAAAGCCTTAATGTCAGTCAACAAAAAAGCCTTTGAAGATGTCAAATATGCATTTCCATTAAGCACCATGATAATGACAGGAAACCAATGGAAATATAGCAATCTAGAAAGAAATAATTTTTGAAAATAGAGAAAATGATACCAGCTTCAGCAATCATGGTGTAACCTGGATTTACAATCAAAAACCATAAAATTTATGGCTTCCAAACAATCCACTTCAACACAACAAGATGGGACAAGTATCTCAACATGCTCCAAACCCTAATATTACCACCTGTGAAACTCCTGGAAGAATACATCACACCAAAAGGCCTTCAATTAACAGAAACCATTACTATTCTAGGACAATGACAATACAGAGCTCACTGGGATATAAACAATGCACAACATATTATACAACAAATCCAATAATCCTACCAGAACATGATTATACAATAATGATAGAAGGAAAACCATTACTACAGACTATACACACAATGGAGTCATAGAATAAAGAACACAGAATACATCATAGTAGAACATACCTCCCACAACTCGTATTTTTGGGAAAATATGCAAAAAGGAATATGGGAAAGCAGCATGGATCCCAGAAGAGGACCACCGGGGTAACTCAGGATTACTCCTGACGTCTCACAATGTCTCTCGAAGGGACAGACTGTGGGGAATTCCACAGGAGTCCCAAAAAGAGTTACAGAGCACTGCTAGCCCAAAAAGAAAGAAAAAAGCAAATCCAAAATGGAGTTACTTAAGCTAATGCTGTTAAGCAAATCAAAAATGGAGTTACGTAACCTAAGAACTAAGCACCAGGAACTGCCCAGGCCATCTGTCAGAAACAGACACAGGTGCTGAAGCATAAGGACAGGTGCACATTACATCATAAGCAGCAGCCAATCAGCTGGCTACTACATTACTTCACCCACACTACTGCACCACGATTGGTCACACCCAAAAACCAACATCTGATTGGTGACACACAAAAAGGATGGGCCTGTGATTGGTGACACCCTAGGGCATGATCACCGCCCACCTACCCCAGAGGTGGGATAAAAAGCCAGCCTCACAACTGCTCTCCATCCTCTCAGGGAACCATGGCTCATTGCCAGTGATGACCAAGTGTATCCGTCACATCTTGTAGAAACTCTGCTCGCTACTCTGGGGAATCCGGCCTCACCTGCACGTCCTAGCTGTTGCCAGAGCTGATATCGACCCCCCAGGCTACAGCATCAGTGACTTCTCCAACCCTTCACCGTCGCCATCCGTCTTGGGAACTCCGAGTCTACTGCCCATAAGTGACTGTTTTGAGATCCATCTCTCCAAGTGGTAACAGAGACTTTGGACTCTGGACTTTGACTTTTGTGACCATGATACAAACCTTGAGAACGCAGCATTCATATTACACCCTTAACCATGAGTGTTCAGATTGATTATGCATTTTATGCTTTATACTTATTACTATTGCTGGGTATGTTTAGAGATCGTCTTACTCCTAGATGCATAGTATGACCTGTGGACTAATGATGTATTGAGTGGTATTGACTTTCAGATGTGTGCACTGAATATATATAGAGTGGTATTGAACAATAAATTATACTGAAAAGACTATCATGATCCTGTGTGAGTCTTCCCCATGCTCCGACACGTCACATTAGGCTTTTTAAAAAAAAAATTTATTTGAAAGTCAGTTACACAGAGGAGAGGCGCAGAGAGAGAGAGAGAGAGAGAGAGGTCTTCCATCCATCGGTTCACTCCCCAAATGGCCGCAATGGCCGGAGCTGCACCGATCTGAAGCCAGGAGCTTCTTCCAGGTCTCCTACATGGGTGCAGGGGCCCAAGGACTTGGGCCACCTTCTACTGCTTTCCCAGGCCACAGCAGAGAGCTGGATCGGAAGAGGAGCAGCTGGGATTAGAAATGGCACCCATATGGGATGCCGGCACTGCAGGCAGAAGTTTTACCTGCTACACCACAGCACAGGCCCCCGCACTAGCCTTGTCAAGCTCTGTGACAAGTGGCACTTGTGAAAACCTGTGACCCTTTAATCTGATTTCTTGATCTATATTGAAATAATCCTTTAAAAATCTGTAAGTTAAGACATTTTAAAAATAACACATAGAGCCGGCGCTGTGGCTCAATAGGCTAATCCTCCGCCTTGAGGCGCCAGCACACCGGGTTCTAGTCCCGGTCGGGGCGCCGGATTCTGTCCCGGTTGCCCCTCTTCCAGTCCAGCTCTCTGCTGTGGCCCGGGAGTACAGTGGAGGATGGCCCAAGTGCTTGGGCCCTGCACCCCATGGGAGACCAGGAGAAGTACCTGGCTCCTGCCATCGGATCAGCGTGGTGCGCCGGCCGCAGCGCGGCGGCCATATGAGGGTGAACCAACGGCAAAAGGGAGACCTTTCTGTCTCTCTCTCACTGTCCACTCTGCCTGTCAAAAAAAATAAAATAAATAATAACACATAGAGGGGCTGGCACTGTGGCGCAGCGGGTTAACACCCTGGCCTGAAGTGTTGGCATCCCATATGGGCACCAGTTCTAGTCCCAGCTGCTCCTCTTCCAATCCAGCTCTCTGCTATGGCCTGGTATAGCAGTTGAGGATGGCCCAAGTCCTTGGGCCCCTGCATCCACGTGGGAGGCCCAGAAGAAGCTCCTGGATCAGCGTAGCTCCGGCCGTTGTGGCCATCTGGGGAGTGAACCAGCAGATGAAAGACTTTTCTGTCTCTACCTCTCTGTCTTTCAAATAAATAAATCTTTAAAAAAAAAAAAACACATCAAATTTTAACTTTACTTTTAAGCTGCCTTGAATTATTCTATATATGGACTCCTATGAAAACATTTGTGTGAGTGACCCTGTGCCTGGCTGTAAGAGTGCCTGCCTAGCCCATGCAGGAGGTTAGGAGGGGGTGGCACAGCATGCCTCCCAGGATGGCCTGACTGCTGGCAGGTGGAAAAAGTCCTGGGCACATTTCCCCCACTCCTGATCCCTGTTGAAGGGCCTTGAAATTACCAATCAGGTAAACAGCTCCCTGGTGTGGCCCAGGCCCATCAGGACCACCTGGAAAGCTACCAGGCCAAGTGACCTCCAAGCTGATTGGAGGAGCATAGTGGCGCCCGTATCAGCTTTATCCTATAGAATCAGTGTTGCCCTGAATTAGCTACGCCCCCTCTGCCTGCCCCTTAAAAGGTGTACTTAATGGTTAATAAACGGATATGTTCACGGAAACTTGTCTCCGGTACTTCTGGTCGAAGAACGCTATCGCCCCACCATCCCATCGCCCCACCATCCCATCGCCCCACCATCCCATCGCCCCACCATCCCATCGCCCCACCATCCCATCGCCCCACCATCCCATCGCCCCACCATCCCATCGCCCCACCATCCCATCGCCCCACCACCCCGACAGTGTGCGGGCCTCGCAAGACAAGCCCACATTTTTGTTACACATTTATCTCATTTACCTT